TGTAGAAAAATAATGTATTTTTGCTTCATCTAAGCGTAAAGAAGGATGCATAAGAAATTAACAGTGTTTATCTATTTTGGAGGTTGGGGGATGAGAACTAGGTGGGTAGGGAAAGGGGAGGGAAGCAAACTTTTCAGAGTCTCTTTTATATTTTCTTGGGGTGTTTTAACCAGGTGAATATATAACCCCCTGTAAAAAGTAATTTAAAAAATTATGTCTGTGAGTTCCCTGACTTCAAATATATATGTATATTTCTGTTGTCCCTTTTCCATATGTCTTTAGTAAAAAAATTTTTAAGAATGCACGTATAGATGAGTCTCAAAGGATTAGTAGTATTTTGTAGACATCTGGCCCTGGCTTTGTTCCCTTTCAGGAGCACTCTCAAGTCCCGTGACTAAATTCATTATGAAGCCTTCCTATAGGAAATTCTAATACTACAAATATGGCCACACTTTGAGTTATTGTTGGCTTCTTTGAAGAACCATTTAACTGAAATTGTCTGCAGCATCCTACAAACTGGATATTCAGTTTTTCCTAATAAAACTGTTATATAGTACCAATATAATTAGTACACAGGTGATTCCTGACCACCCCTTGCTTTGATATCTTGTATCCTATCATCATGGTTATATTTCCCCTACTTAAAATTATATGAATTTGGTCTTTTAGAAAATAGATTTGTTTATTTTTAGTATTCAGATAATTCTGCTCTTTTCAGTGTATGCTAAACCCAAGAGTTTCGTTCATCGTGATTTTTGTAGTTTTTGTCATTTGTCATATGTATTTTACCCTTTGGAGAACAAAGAGAAACTAGTATTTATTTTGTACCTATCATGTGCTCGGTGCTTTAGAGATATTATTGCATTAAATACTCATAATAACTGTGGGGTAGGTGGAGGTTTCATTTTACAGATGAGCAAAGTAGGATCTGGGCTTCCCTGGTGGCTCAGCAGTAAAGAATTTGCCTGCCAATGCAGGAGACCTGGGTTCGATTCCTGGGTCAGGAAGATCCGCTGGAGAAGGCAATGGCAACCCACTCCAGTATTCTTGCCTGGGAATTCCCATGGACAGAGGAGCCTGGTGGGCTACACTCCATGGGATCACAGAGAGTCAGACACGACTACAACTTAGCAACTAAACAACAACGGCAAATTAGGCTTTAGTGAGGCCTTGAAGGTGGCCTTGTGTGGCCATCACGGGGCAGCGCTGATCTGAAGCTGGTCTGGTCTACTTATCTTTACCAGGGGGTCCCCTCTGCCTTTGAGAAGGGGGTAAGGGCTGAATCCTTTCAAAGATCCTCATCAGAGAGAACAGGCAGAATTGATTTATAGGTAACTCTGATTACCATCTACTGATGAGGCTGTGGTTAAATGAGTTTTGAAAACTGGCCTTTCATTTTTACTGTATGGTTCTGAGATGGTATTCATTTTTCATCTAGAAACTGCTGCCAGACCTCAGGAAAGAAGCTGACTGAAAATGTTTTAAATATATTACTTCCCTAATAAAGAAGCTTAAAATCCTAAATTTAATTCCTGAATATGTTAAATTCTGAACCTACAGAATTTGAATGTCTTATTTGTTATCTGTAGAGCTGTCAAGTTCATACTGTTAGCAGCCAATATCCAATGAACTTTACCAACTCTAACAGATGCTGTTGCCGTATTCTAAAGTCCCGTTTTGGCGATACCCGGCCCCATTTATATTAATCCTTGAAAAGAGAGCCATCCGAAGATACCATCTACCATTTTGCTGATTCTTGTTGGATATTAGCTAATGCAAGAATATTGTGTCTCGGCAGAAAGTATTCTTTAAAGGATGAGCTCCTGTTAAACAAGTGGGAATGAAAGAACATTTTATGATTCTAATAAAATATACTTATGTTTTGAACAAATGGTGAGAAAGACACTGAGGAAATTCACATGACTCGAAAAGTTTAAAATGTCACAGAGGTGAATGGAGAAGACAGAGTAAACCCATAGCATATTCTCTTATATTTAATATTTTAAAGAGAAAAGCAGCTTTATTGAGACTTAATTGATATGCCATCAAATTAATCACTTTAAAGTGTACAATTCGGTGCTTTAATCACAGAGCTGTGCAGGCACCGTCACTATCTAATTGCGGAACGTTTTCATTATCCCCGCCAAAACCCTGGACTCATTAGCAGTCTCTCATCCTCATTCCCTGCCAGAGTCCCCCCACTCCCCGCCGGCCGCCGCTGCGCCACTCTGCCTCTCGCAGGGATCGATTTACTTTCCGTAGCTATGTGCTCAGTGGCTAAGTCCTGTAGGACTCTGCGATCCCATGGACTGTAGCCCATCAGACTCCTCTGTCCCTGGGGATTCTCCAGGCAAGAATACTGGAGTGGGTTGCCTGGCCCTCCGCCAGGGGATCTTCCCGACCCAGGGATCGAACCCAGGTCTCCCGCATTGCAGGCAGATTCTTCACCGTCTGAGCCACCAGAGAGGCCCCTTCCGTAGGTGTTTGCCTATCCTGGATATTTCATAAAGAGTGAAATCTTACAGGAATTTGCTGGCGGTCCAGTGGTTAAGACTTGGTGCTTTCACTGACATGGCTAGGATTCAGTCCCTGGTTTAGGGAACTAGGAAGTGCTTGGAAAGCTGCTTGGAGTGGCCAGAAAAAAAGTGGAATCTTACAATATGTGTTCTCTTGTGACTGGTTTGTTTTACTTAGCATAATGTTTTTGAGGTCCATCCACATTGTAGCATATAGTACTTCATTTATTTCTATTGCTGAAAAATATTCCTGTTTTTCAGTATATCATATTTTGCTTTTTCATTTATATATTAGTGGATAGTTGGATTGTTTCCACTTTTTGACGATTATTAATAAGGCTGCTGTGCATATTCATGTGCAGGCTTTTGTATGAACATGTATTTTCGTTTTTGGGTGTATACCTTGCGGCAGAATTGCTGGGTCATGTGTAACTCAATTTAACTTTTTGAGGAATTGCCAAACTGTTTTCCAGTGTCTGCACTGTTTCTCAGTCCCACCAGCAAGGTTTGAGGGTTCAAATTTCTCCACATCCTCACCAACATTAATTATCTGTCCTTTTTGGACTTTCGTCATTTTAGTGGGTTTGAAGTGGTATGTCACTGAGGTTTTGGTTTTCATTTTGTTAATGGCTAATGATATTGAGCATCATTTATGTGCTTGTTGACCATTTGTAACCTTCTTCGGAGAAATGTCTATTCTGTTCCTTTGTCCATTTTTTAATAGGGTTATTTGTCTTTTTTGCTGAATTATAAGAGTTCTCTATATATTTTGGATGTGCAGATTATATGATTTACAAACATTTCTCCTATTATGTAGATTTTCTCTTTTACTTTCCTGATGGTTTTCTCTTGAAGCACTGAAGTTTTTTATTTTGATTAAGTTCAGTTAATTTTCTCTTCTGTCACTTGTGCTTTTGATGTCATGTTATTCACCTAAGAAATTACTGCCTAGCCCAAGGTCACAGAGATTTACTACTGTGTTTTCTTTTAAGAACTGTTTTAGTTCTTACTTTTAGGTTTTGGTCTGTTTCGAGTTACCTTTTGGTTATGGTGTGAGGTAGGGGTTCAACTTTATTCATTTGCATATGGATATTCAGTTGTCCTATGTTGGCATTCATGTTGAAAATCAAATGACCATAATTATAAAGATTTATTTCTGTACTTTCAATTTTATTCTATCTTAAATTTTTATTTTTTGAGGTAGAGTTGATTTACAACATTATATTAGTTTCAGGTGTACAACATAGTAATTCAATACTTTTATAGATTATACTCCATTTAAAGTTATTATAAAATATTAGTTATGTTACCTGGGCTGTACATGACATCCTGTATCTTATTTATTTTATACCTAGTAGTTTGTACCTCTTAATTCCTTTACCCTATCTTTCCTCTTCTTCCACTGTTCTCTCACTGGTAACTGATCATTTGTTCTCTGTGTCTATGAGACTGTTTCTTTTTTAACTGTACCCATTAGTTTTACTTTTTATTTTATTTTTTTTTTGAGGGAGAATATTTACAAGTATTTTATTTGAATAAAACCATTATAATGGCCATTAAAATGATGGGAAATATGGTGCTTATTCTGAAAGGAGGTTACAGCATCACTGTATTTACGGAAGAGGAGGCAGCAAAGGTGTACATCTGGAGGTGAAATAACATTGTAAACTCAACTCACATTAAATACCATAAAAGTAAATAGAGTCAAAATACACCATTATTTACATGTGACTGAGAAGGAAGGAAACATTACAGAGTTAAACTTTTGCATAACGTGTAATGTTTATGTTAGCAAAAGCCTTCGAGTTTGTGTAAAATGACTGTGTGCCTTAATCTCACCCACCACTAGGTTAAGACACTGAAGCTGAGACTGATTCCTTCCTGATTTTACAGCTTTATTCTTGATATCCCTCTAAGAAGACACCAATATGATTGTGAAGATGACTCATACCTATAATTACAAAGTACCACATTCACATAACAACAAAATCCAAACGAAGTATACTACAATTTTACCTTTCAATTACTACTGTGTACAGTACCTCATAAGTAGGCATAGTGGTGCATTTAGGAGCTGATTGTACTCCCTGTGTAAAATTTTAGGAATGAGCACATCCACGTGTAGGGATACTTCCTTACCTTACAAATTAAAAGCAAGCATTTTCTACGTAAAGTTTTTGTTTCTGTGTAAAACAAAGACAACTCCTGAAGGTCTAACAAGGAAAAAAATATACAACATTCACAGCACTATTAAGTCATGAAACAAAGACAAATCTGAGGTAGAAGTCAAGCAATATAACCTACAACCTTTTTAGGGGAGTGATTATTTCCAGCAACCATCATGTCTCTCCAGTAAGATCTAATTTTTAAAAAGTCCCAAGTTCCAAAAAATTAATAATTCATTTTCTACAATCAGATGTAAAACTATGACCAACAGAAAATACAGCATAAACTTTTGTCATGTTAGCAGAGTAACTAATTTTACTAAAACTTGCTGACACTTCTATTAGTGTAGCCACAGGGAGGCCTTTGGTTGTAACCATAGTGTCCATATTGATGGGGGTAGTAAGGTTCTTGTCTGTGCTGTGGGTAGTTGTTACCCCAGGATCATCCATGCCATTGATTGGATCAGTTGTCTCTTGGCCACCCCCATCTGCTATCCCTACCTCTAAACTGTCTATTATCTTACAACCGATTTCGTCTGTTTGTCAGATTGCCACCAGCTCTGCTATTCCATTCCTCAACAATCAGAGGAGACTCCAGAGGGTGTTTCAGGTATTCTCGGTATTCTTTGTCATCTTCTGTGAATCTGCTGGCAAACATCTCTTCAAAATTTGGAACAGCTTCAGAAGTCTCAGTCACTCTGAAATTCCCAAGGATTTGAGGCAGCTGTTGTGTTTAATGTTTAGGTTGTGTAGATCTCCGGTCCAGGGTGCTGGCACAGGACCTCTGTGTACACTCCTTCAGCTCTCCCAGGTAGCAGTGAGTTTTACTTTTAAGCTGCCACATATAAGTGGAAAGCTCTTTCTGTCTTAATGCCAGTGCCACACTGCGTTAACTAGCCTAGTGTGGCTTTGTAGTAAGTTTTACAAACGGGAAGTATGAGTCCTCCAACTTTGTTCTTCCTTTTCAAGATCACTGTCTTATGTTGGATCAGTTGCATTTCTATATGCATTTTAGGATCAGCTTGTCAGTTTATGAAAAAAATGGCAAGGAATTTTGATAGGGATTGGATTCACCCTGTGGATCAATTTGGAGAGTATTGCTATCTTAACAGTATTTAGTCTTCAGATCCATGAGCCTGGGTTGTTTTTCCATATCTTAAAGTCTTCTGTAATTTTTTTAAAATTTATTTTTATTTTTGGCTGCGCTGGGTCTTCTTTGCTTGGCTTGGGCTTTCTCTAGTTGGTGAATGGGGGCTGCTCATTGTTGCAGTGTGGGCTTCTCATCGTGGCTTCTCTTGTCGTGGAGCACAGGCCCTAGGGTGCCTGGGCTTTAGTAACTGCAGCACACGGCTCCGTGGGTGCGGCTCGTGGGCTCCAGAGCACAGGCTCAGTAGTTGCGGCGCATTAACTTAGTTGCTCCATGGCATGTGGAATCTTCCTGGACCAGGGGTGGGACCTGTGTCCCCTGCATTGGCAGTTGGACTCTTATTCACCAGGGAAGTCCTATAATTTCTTTTAACCATTTTCTGTAGTTTTCAGTGTACAAATCTTGGACTTCATTAAAATTTATTCCTAAGTATTTTATTCTTTTTGATGCTGTTGTTAATGGAATTATTTTCTTAATTCAGTTTCTTAATTATTTTTTAATTCATTTAATGTTTACTCATGGTAGCATGAGTAAACATTAAATGAATTAAGAAAATAAAAATCAAAGTATATAAATTATACTCAAAAAATCAAGTATTGGTGCAATGTATTAGTACAATGATTTTTGAATCTTGAACTTGTATTCTTCATTCTTTTAAAACAATTTTTATCTTTAAAAACTCTTAATTGGAGGATAATTGCTTCACACTGGGTTGTGTTAATTTCTGCTGTAAAACAGTGTGAATCAGCCGTATGTATACATGTATCCCCTCCATCCTGAGCTCCCTCTCACTCTTCCATCTCACCTCTCTAGGTCATCACAGAGCACTGAGTGAAGCTCCTTGTGATATGTAGCAGCTTCCCACTAGCTATCTATTTTACACATACTAGTATTCACACTTGCTGAACTTATTTATTAGTTTGAATACTTTTTTTTGGAGAACTGATTAGGATTTTTTATACAATCAGTCCTCAATATCTGGGAGTTTTGCATCCCCAGATATAGAGGGTGGACTGTATTCATGTACTGTTTTATATAAGGGCTTCTGGATCCAATGTGGTATCTGCAGGGCCTCCTGGAACCAATCCCCTGTGGGTACTAAGAGACAACTGTATATAAGATCTTAACATCTGTTCATAGAGATAGTTTTTCTTCTTCCTTATCAATCTTTTAATCAAAATTTTATAATTTTTTTCCTTGCTTGGTTGCTCTGGCTAGAACCTTCAGTGCTAAGGAGAAGCCTTGTCTCATTCCTAGTCTCAGGGGAAGAGCATTCAGTCTTTCACCATTACATGTAATGTTAGCTGTGGTTATTTGTAGACGCCTCTTATTAGCTTGAGGAAATTCTATTCTATTTGAAGTTTATTATGTTTTTATAATTAAAGAGTGTTAAATTTTGTAAAATGCCTTTTCTGCATCCATTGAGATGATTGTGTGGTTTTTGTCCTTTATTCTGTTAATATAGTATATTACATTGATTGGTTTTCAGATGATAAACCAACTTTGAATTCTTGGGATAAATCATATTTGGTCATGCTATATAATCCTTTTCATATGTTCCTGGATTTGGTTTGCTGGTATTTTGTTGAGGATTTTTGCACCTGTATTGATCTATAACTTCCTTTTTTGCGTGTGATATCTTCATTTGGGTTTGGTATCAAGATAATACTGGCCTTGTTGATGAGTTCCCTTCTTTTCTTTTCTATGGGTGGTGGGAGATTTTGTGAAGGATTGGTATTAATTCTTCTTCAGATATTTGGTAGAAGTCACCGGTGAAGCCATCTGGACTTGGGCTTTTCTTTGTGGCACTTTTTCTGTTTTTTTTTAATTACTAGTTAAGTTTCTTTATTTGTTATGTATATATTCAGATAAGTACTATTTCTTCTTGACTTAGCTTCATAGCTTTTTTCTTCCAATGAATATGTTCATCTGATTATCTACCAGATAATTCATTGTATACAGTTGTTAATAATATTCCTTTAAAATTCTTATTTCTGTGAAGTTGTTAGTGATGTTCCATATTTCATTCCTTAGTTCAGTTCAGGTGCTCAGTCATGTCCGATTCTTTGCAACCCCATGAATTGCAGCACACCAGGCCTCGCTGTCCATCACCAACTCCTGGAGTTTACTCAAACTCATGTCCGTTGAGTCAGTGATGCCATCCAGCCATCTCATCCTCTGTCATCCCCTTCTCCTCCTGCCTTCAATCTTTCCCAGTATCAGGGTCTTTTCAAATGAGTTAATTCTTCATATCTGGTGGCCAAAATATTGGAGTAGTCTTCTTTCTTTTATTCTTGATCAGTCTAGGTAAAGTTTTTCCAATTTTGTTAAAATTATTTTGAAGAACTAAATTTTCGTTCCATTGATTTTCTCTGTTGTTTTTCTATTCTGTATTTCATTGATTTCTGCTCTAGTCATTATTACTTTCTTCCTTCTGGGTTGGTGGGGAACAGCAGTTCAGGAGAAAGCATAGATCAAAGAACAGACAACAACTACAGAAGAATCAAAAAGAATGTGATAGTGGAAAACATATAAAAGTAGAAGAAGGAAGAGGAGGAAGTAGTACTGAGGTCTTTATCCATCCTTGGCAGAGAGGCCAGTACCCAGAAATGCACTCCTAGGCTTTCTAAATCTCTATATGGCTCTGGGACGGAAATTCCTGAGAGTAAAGTGTATTGTTGGAACACAGCCTCGCCTATAGTGTAGTTATTACAGTAATTGAATTACCTCTTTCCATTTAGTTCCTGTAGCATGCTCTGTTTTGGCAACACTGAATGTCCAAACGAGTAGATGTGATTCTTTTATTAAAATCTTTTTAGCTGACCTAGGGAATAGATAACAGATATGAAAATGCTTGCCATAGTTAAGGGCACAAAGTAGGCACTTGTTAAATGTTGGCTGATATTAACTTGTCCATAACATTCTATAGTATTTAATAGCCTACAGTAGGGAATTTGCAGTGCCTAGGTTATAGTGTTTGATCTGCCAGTAATTTATTAAATGATCCTTGGCGAATGACTTTATTTTCCCTGACTTTAAATTACTCAGTTCCATCTACCTCTAAAATTTTACAGTTCTATTCATGTAGAAAAAAAGCTTGTGTAACTATAGATTCTTCTTTTAATAGAGGTGGAAGTTGTTATTTTTGTTCTCAACTTTTACAATTTTGACTAGGGTACACTGCGTGAATAAGATTCTTTATAGCATTATCTAAAGCCAACCACTGATTTGTTTGAAAACAAAGGGTTTCTTTGCAGTGTCATTTAGCCTGGCCTTGCCATGAATCCAAGAATTATTCTACGCTAATCAGAGAACAGTAATGCAGTTGTATTTAAATTTAGAGTTCCACCGTCATTCACAGAGATGAATCGAGGTGAACAAGTACTTCTAACTTAATTTGCAAAAGTTCTAAATGTATTGGTGGAATTCTCTGCAGGAATCATAGTGAAAAGCAGATTGGAAAACTTGGCTGAGATCCTAAGAGGCTGTTAGAGAAACTGTCATTGCCTTTTGTTATATTTGTTTTCTGAATCTGTGTGATTTTTAATAAAAAAAATTCATAGTCATGTAGATTTTAGAAGCATTCTTACCATTTTGAAATGTTGATATATGGTGTGACAGAGAATGAGACTGTGTGGTTAGTTACCTTAACTTTTAAAGGAGGACAATGCCTAACTTTCAAATGCTCTGCAAAATCAGAATCGAATCAAAACTCCCTTGTTTTCCTTCACAGTCACTGCATGTGATACTGACACCTGTGTATTCTGGTTCCCACATGGGTGCTAGTTTTTCCCACACCAGCCAAGTCTGAGACACGAGCTGGATGTCCTACAGTTTAACTCAGTGTTGACACTGTCTTCTTGGAGCTCCCACAGGTTAAGGGTTTAGTTCTATATACCTGCACTCTCACCCTTCAGCTGCCAATTGCAAATTCAGGTTGTTACCTGGGCTTCTGACCAGAGGCTATAAATCATTTTTCCACCACTCCTTTGGGTTCAATTAATTTGCTGAATTGCTCTCAGTACACAGGAAAACAGCTTACTTACTAGATTACCTCCAGGTGCACCAACTTGGAAGCTCTCCGAACCTCTCCTGGGAGTTTTTTTGGAGCCTTCATTGCATAGGCATGGTTGATTAAATCATTGACCATTGGTGATCAACTCAACCAACAACCCCTTTCCCCTCCCGGGAGGTAAGGGAAACTAAAATCTCCAAGTTTCTAATTAATCAGATTGATTGTCCTGGCAACCACTTCCCAGCCTTAAATTACCTAGGGGCTTTCTAAGAGTCACTGCATTAATATAAAGTCAGGTGTGACTGAAAGAGACTTATTATGTGAATAACAAAAGATACCTATTTCACCTTCATCTCTCTTATCACTTAGGAAATTTCAAGGGTTTTAGGAGCTCTGTTCCAGAAACAGATGGATTGAATGTGCGTGCGTGCGTGTGTGTGTGTGTGTGTGTGTGTGCGTGCATGAAAGTGAAAGTTAAACACTACATTTAAAATTGAAGTGACGTAAAAAAAAAATTGAAGTGACGTGTTCATCACTCAGTCATATCCAACTCTTTGTGACCCCATGGACTGTAGCCTGCCAGGCTCCTCTGTCCGTGGAATTTTCCAGGCAAGAATACTGGAGTGGGTTGCCATTTCCTTCTTCAGGGGATCTTCCCAACCCAGGATTTAATGTGGGTCTCCCGCATTACAGGCAGATTCTTTACCATCTGAGCCACCAGGGAAGCCCTGTTTATCCCATAGTATAATTGAGTAAGAGCTGTAACCACCTTATGTGAAGCCCATTTAAATATATCAATTTTTATATTTATTTATATGTATTTGTATCTTATAAATATGTAAAGGTATATTGATATATCTTAATAGAAATCACAATCTCATAGTATTGTACCTTGCTTCAAAATTATTAAAGTTATGAGAACTAAAACAGTTTATTTTCTACTTTTATTAAAAAAATACACTTTAAATATCCATTTGAGCTTTCATGGGAAAACCAGGAGGCAATCATCCAAGTGTAACTGTGGGTTTTTCTTTTTTTAAAATTTTAAATTCTTGCCATTGAAGTTCATTTACCATAATTCTGCATAGACAGAATTATGTTCAAACTTAAGTTCAGTTTTAAAAGGAGGGAAAAGTGGAAAACAAGTTGCGAAACAGTAACTTAGGTAATGGATGTTGGTAATGAGTCATTATGGTTTGTTGTGTAAGTATGTACAGAAGTGGGAGGCTCTATCAGGCATGCATTATGCATGCTAAGTCGCTTCAGTTGTGTCCAACTCTTTGTGATCCTATGGACTATAGCTTGCCAGGCTTCTCTGTCATGGAATTTTCCAGGCAAGAATACTGGAGTGGGTTGCCATGCCCTCTTCCAGGGGATCTTCCTGATGCAGGGATTGAACCCATGTGTCTTTAGTCTCCTGCATTGGCAGGCAGGTTCTTTGCTAAGAGCTCTATCTGGGAAGCCCGTATCAGGCATACAGCTCTCCTAAAATAACAGATTCCCCAAATCCTTAATGAAAAGTACAGTGTACATGTTCCATGAAAGTCACTTCTCATGCACTTTTTAATCATTAAAATATAAAGCCTGGGTCACTTGGAAAACGTTTTGGGTAAGTGGTTGTGTTGAAAACTAGGTATTTGTAGGGCAATTCTACTCTGCTCTACTCTGGTCACCATTTGCCCTTAAACCTTTCTGGGACCCACCTGATCTAGCCCTGTCTTTGTGGGTAGGATTGACTTTCAGACTTATTTTTCTTTGTTAAAAAAAGATGCAGGAATAATAAGCAAGGAGCACTTTCTCATTTCCTCTGAGGTAGTTAGCTACAGACTTAACATTTTCAACTTAGAAAGTAGTTTTATTTTATTGTCTGTCATTAAAGTTTACCACTCGGGTTTCAATTTTTATGTTTCTCTTATAATTAAAACAGAATGAGTCTTTGGACTGTGGTATTTAATAGAACCTTTAATTGAATCTTTAAACTTTAGTGTAATTATATGTAAAAATAGAATGTTTATTTAAAATGGGTATGTTATAAAATGGAATACGTGTCATTGACAGGCATTGTTGTATACAGAAGTAGCAGGTTGCCTCATCTATTTTCAACTCCTGTGACAGATTATACTAATAGTGGCTAAGAATGGGGATCCAGACCATAGTTCAAATGGTGGTTCATCGGTCACTTAGTGTAGAAACTAACTGAGCCTTTGTAGTTGACTGGTCACCTCACATCTTTAAAAATAGGCTAAAAAATGGAGGAAAAAATTTGCCCTCTTTCTATCCTGCATACCAGGAGAGGCTAATCTTCTCAAAGCTCTTTTTAAAAATTGCATGCTACATTTCTTAACCTACAATAGCTCTTTATGAGTTCAAGTCCAGACTCCTCACCCTGTCCTACCTATCTAGACTGATTTTGGGCAGTGCTTCTACAGAATCAGTCTGTGCAGTTAGATCAGTTTACTTTGCAGAGGAGGCAGGAAATCTGGATTTGTTGTTCTCCTTTGGAGTAGATTTTGACTTTTCAAATCTAGCTTTTAGCTTCAGTGTATAGACTTTAAAGATGTGTGTTGGTAAACTAAACAAAATCTTTGTATTCACTAAATATTTATTGAATCCTGGACTGTGAAGTCAAGTGGGCCTTAGAAAGCATTACTACAAACAAAGCTAGTAGAGGTGATGGAATTCCAGCTGAGCTATTTCGAATCATAAAAGATGATGCTATTAAAGTGCTGCACTCAATATGCCAGCTAATTTGGAAAACTTAGAAATGGATACAGGACTGGAAAACGTCACTTTTCATTCCAATCACAAAGAAAGGCAATGCCAAAGAATGTTCAAACTACCATACACTTGTACTCATTTCACATTCTAGTAAGGTAATGCTCAAAATCTTTCAAGCTAGGCTTCAACAGTAGTGAACCAAGAACTTCTAGATGTACAAAATGGATTTAGAAAAGGCAGAGGAACCAGAGATCAAATTGCAGACATCCGCTGGATCATAGAAAAAGCAAGAGAAACATCTACTTCTGTTTCATTGACTATGCTAAAGCCTTTGTGGATCCCAACAAACTGTGGAAATTTCTTAGAGATGGGACTCCCAGACCACCTTACCTGCCTCCTGTGAAACCTGTATGGAGGTCAAGAAGCAATAGTTAGGACCAGACATGGAACAACGGACTGGATCAAAATTGGGAAAGGAGTACGTCAAGGCTGTATATTGTCACCCTGCTTATTTAACTTATATGAAGTACATCATGTGAAATGCTGGGCTGGATGAATCCCAAGGTGGAATCAAGATTGCAGGAAGAAATATCAGTGGCCTTAGATAGGCAGATGATACCACTCTATACCCTCAAGATGGCAGAGCGGAAGGACATGTGCTCATCTTCTCCTGCAAGAACTCCAGAATCACAACTAGCTGCTGAACAATCATTGGCTGGAGATTGTTGGATCCCACCAAAAAAGACACCCCATGTCCAAGAGCAAAGGAGAAGCCCCAACAAGCTGGTTCAGTTAAGTCACTCAGTCTCATCCGACTGTTTGCTACCTCATGGACTGCAGCATGCCAGACTTCCCTGTCCATCACCAACTCATGGAGTTTGCTGAAGCTCATGTCCATTGAGTTGGTGATGCCATCCAACCATCTCATCCTCTGTCATCCTCTTCTCCTGCCTTCAACCTTTCCCAGCATTAGGGTCTTTTCTAATGAGTCAGTTTTTCGAATCATGTGGCCAAAGTATTGGAGTTTCAGCTTTAGCATCAGTCCTTCCAATGAATATTCAGGACTAATTTCCTTTAGAATTGACAGCAGTCTCCTTGCTGTCCAAGGGACTCTCAAGAGTATTCTCCAACACCACAGTTCAAAAGCATCAATTTATGCTGGATCTTAGTTCCCTGACCAGGGATCAAGCCTTTGGCCTTTATAGTGGCAGGTTGGAGCCTCAACCAGTGGACTGCCAGGGAAGGTCCCTCATTATTTTCTTTAAAAAAAAAAAAAGAATCTTATATTTTTTTTCATGCATATAATATTTTCTGTCTCTGTGAAGTTTTTTTTTTTTTTGTAAATAAAAACCTTTGTCTATTCCTAGTATTCTATTTCCTATTTTTAATGTATTCTAGTTTTTTTTTTTTAATTTTGGTCCTTTATGTTAGAGGTTTCCTTTAAGTGTTTGATAATTATTTAAGAGTAAGACATTACTTTGTCAACAAAGGTCCATCTAGTCAAGGCTATGGTTTTTCCAGTAGTCATGTATGGATATGAGAGTTGGACTATAAAGAAAGCTGAGTGCAGAGAATTGATGCTTTTGAACTGTGGTGTTGGAGAAGACTCTTGAGAGTCCCTTGGACTGCAAGGAGATCCAACCAGTCCATCCTAAAGGAGATCAGTCCTGGGTGTTCACTGGAAGGACTGATGTTGAAGCTGAAACTCCAGTACTTTGGCCACCTGTTGCGAAGAGCTGATTCATTTGAAAAGAGCTGATACTGGAAAAGATTGAGGGCAGGAGGAGAAGGGGACGACAGGATGAGATGGTTGGATGGCACCACCGACTCAATGGACATGAGCTTGAGCAAGCTCTGGGAGTTAGTGATGGACAGGGAAGTCTGGTGTGCTGTGGATCATGAGGTCGCAAAGAGTTGGACACGACTGAGCGACTGAACTGAACCAAAGACACTAAAATAGAGGCTTCCATGGTGGCTCAGATGGTATCTGCCTGTCCATTCAGGAGACCTGGGTTTGATCCCTGGGTCAGGAAGACATCCTGGAGAAGGAAATACCAACCCACTCTAGTATTCTTGCCTGCAGGATCCCATGGATGGAGGAGCCTGGCAGGCTACAGTTCATGGGGTCACAAGGAGTCAGACATGACTGAGCAACTAACACTTTCAAGACACTAATAGCATTTATTAAAAATGGAATAAAAGTTCTGTGATCTGGATGGAACTTGTTAAAAATGGAGACCATCACAGATTTCATCGGCAGCCTCTCTTTTCTCAGGACCATACAGTTTTCCCAGATAAGAAGCCTCTCATCTCCTGCCTGTTGATGCCCTAAAGCCTGAGCCTCTTCTCAGGTCCTGCAGACTAGGTCAGTGGGCTCCTGCCTGGCACCCCTCTCAGGCCCTCAGGTTTCCCCTTCT